ATGTCTGACAACAGTAGGGATCAACTTGGGCTTTGGTACTAGGTTAAAACCGTAGAATGTTTATACAACTAATAGAGACAGGGCATCCCTGATAATAACTAAAGTTGATATCTATGTCATGTTGTATATAGCTCATATTTATGTTATTTTAAGGCAATTTTAAAATGGGATATTTCCTACATGCTTAAGCTTATAAACTCAGTTTCATACCTGTTTGGTAAAATTCCTATTCAAAGCTCCAATAACAAATCCTTATTTTAGTGTGTTTTATGAATATCACAAGCTATTTTACAACTGTAGCTTGAAAGGGATAGTAGTCCTTTTTTGGCAGTTTTTTTTTTTTTGTACCGGGAATCAAACTCAGGACCTTGCGCTTACCATGCAGGTGTTATGCCGCTGAGCTGTATTCCCGGCCCCATTTTAAGAAGTCATTTATTTGGCCAGGTCCTAAATCCCACAGAGGACACAAGGGTGAGGCATCTCCAAGCCTGCCCACAGGGTGACTCAGCAATCAGCAATACAGAATTTGAGTCATTTTAAGCCATCTGACATCAGGAATTAACCTACTGATATGAGGCATGCCTTATGACTCAAAGTCCAAGAAGTACCTGTCTTCATGACACACATTTGATCAACCAGAGTTACAGACAGCTGATGCTTAGGTAATCAGTAGGATGCACGGAACTATAAACAAAATTCCTTTCTTCTTTACATGGTCCCTTCTCCTGTCACTCCCTGTCTACTCATTAACTGAAACTCAGCAAAATTTGAGGAGGAATAATCAACACACAATACGTCTAATCACTGCACAATGGTGTAACAGTCATGATGCAGCCAACCGAGGAGCTCAGCTGGGTTTTACTACTCTGACAAATATACTAATTGGACACTTAAAAGCATGTTCAGGTAAATGACTTAGTAGTACCTATTCTAAGAGAGTGCAGGTAGTACTAGGAAATATTTACTTATTTTAAGTATTTTTGACTAGGGTAAATGAATCTACTTTGTTTACTTGGAATTTGCACTTCTTTCTAGTTAAAATTAGCCTGTTTGTGACAAGTGGACCAATGGAACAGAATAGATGATACAAAAACTTCCTCACATTCAGCTATTTGATCTTTGACAAAGGGGCCGAAAGCATATGCTGGAGAAAAGATACCTTCTTCAACAAATAGTGCTGGGAAAACTGGATATCTGTTTGTAGAAGACTGAAACTTGACCTGTATCTCTCACTATTCACTAAACTAAAATCAAAATGAATCAAAAATTTACACATTAAAACAGAAACACTGAGCCTATTGGAAGAAAATATAAGCAACACACTTGAAAGTACAGGTATAGGAAAGGATTTCCTAAGAGAACCTCAATTGCACAAGAAAAAAATAACAAAAATCAACAAATGGGGTTACATCAAAGTATAAAGCTTCTGCACAGCAATTAGTAGAGTGAAGAGACAACCTATAGAATGGTAAAAAATTTTGCAAGCTGTTCCTCAGATAGAGGACTAATATCTAGAATATATAAAACACTGAAAAAAAATTAGACCACTTAAAATAAAAGACCCAATCAAGCATGGGCAAGTGAAATGGACACTTCTCAGAGGAAGAAGTACTAATGGCCAATGAATATATGAAAAAATGTTCAACATCCCTGGCCATTAGAGAAATACAAAACAACATTTAGATTTCATCTTACACCAGAAAGAATGAGAATCATCAAGAAATTAAAAAAACAACAAATGCTGGCATGGCTGCAGTGAAAAAAGAACACTCATACATTGTTGGTGGGACTGTAAACTAGAATAATCATTATGGAAATCAATATAGAAATTCCTCAGAGAATTAAAATTAAAAATTCCGTAAAAGCTAAAGATATCATACTATAGCAATGCGTGCATACCAATGTTTATAGCAGCACAATTCACAACAGCTAAATCCTGGAAGCAGCCTACATATCCATCAACAGATGAATGGACACACAGAAAATGGGGCATCTATACATAATGGAATATTACTCAGCTATAAAGGATAAATTTGAGACATCTATAGGAAAATGGATGCACTTGGAAAACAATGTTATGTGAAATAAATTAGACACATGAGCTTAAATACTGTATAGTACCTTTCATTTGAGTAATGCAAAGTACAGTACAAAGAGCACAATAAAGAATGGATAGGAGACAAAAGGATAGATCTCTTGCAAATGGGAAGGGTCCAAGAGAACATGGATGAGAAGGGGAGGGAAAGGGAAAACAAATAGAACAAATATATGCCATGTACAGGGACCGAATAACCTATATGAAAGTACACATTATATGTCATAAACATGAGCTAAGATCAATAATATCCACAAGAACCAAAATGGGGAAGGGGGATTTACAGGAGGAGGAAAGTAGGAGGGAAAGGGAAAAAAGAAGCAAGCTGCCTTATATACATGTACCCACTCCCCAAGATGACTGTAAATTACATGTACTGCAAACATGTACCAATAGAAAAACAAAAAATGAACACTTTTTTTTTTTTTTTTGGTACTGGGAATCAAACTCAGGACCTTGCGCTTGCCAGGCAGGCGAACTATCTCGCCGGTGCCGCTGAGCTATCTCCCTGGCCCAAAATGGGCCTATTTGTATCTATGGACTCCAGTCTCTTATAATTTGTAAAAAAAACTTCACATTTTAAGAATATTAACTATTCATCTTTTACATCTTTTATATACTTTACAGATGACTGTTCTGTTCTTGTGTGTCACATGTCTAACAACTTCATGTTGTTTCATTATAAAGTTAATTAAAATATTTATGTACTCAAATGTATCCAACTTTCCTGTGGCATATTGTCAATAAGCTAATGTTTAGAAAGGTGATCTGAATTAATATTATAAAATCGCCTTCATTTTAGGGAAGCAACCCTTATTTTCACTATTTAACATGAACCTTTAAACCATTTGGAATGTTGAAAAGTGTAATGCAAAAAAAAAAAAAATCAAATATTTCTCCCAAATGTTTTCTCCAAATATTTGACTATACTCTTCTTTCACTACTGATTCTAATGTTCCCTGTAACATATGAAGAAAATACATATACACATTCAGATATTCCCATTCTGTTCCTCTGATCTACTTCTGGTGACCCAAATAAACTGTTTTAGACTACCACTCCATAACAAATTTTACTACATGGTAATGCATTTTCTTTTTCAGGACTTTCCAATTTTCACATTTTTAGTCATTTAAAAATAAACTGGCTTCATTAACTTTGAATTTCCTTTTTATAACAATTCAGTAAGAAAATACGTAAGAACTGTGTGTATAATGCTAATTTTATAAAAATATTGCTGTGATCTTTATTTTAAATGTATATCCATATGAATCTCCAGATATATGGCAAAGTAATAACAGTAGTTATTTCAGGTGTCCTAAGTAGTTCCAATTTGCCCAGCCCCCCTTCTGTTCTCCTCCCTGTTCTGTGTACCCTAGGCTCACTGATAAGACTACATCAAAGGTCTTCCTTGCCCTCTGGTTTCGTTTGGCCAAAGGGAAATACCCAGCAAGAAAGAGAAGGGAAAAGAGTGAAATACTTATTTGTCTTCATCCTGGCTTCTCTCTTCAGGGTTGCTGAGAGCCAACTCCATCCTGAAGATCGCAGCTGCTATTAGGAGGCCCTTTGCACACCAATGTATACCATTCCCATTCCTCCTCTCCTGTTCTTCCTCCTCCCGTTCCTCCAGAACCCCTTCTTCTCCTGCTTCCTCTCTTCTATTCTGTTGTCTTCCCTTTGCCTGGAAGTAGTAACCCCATGTGATGCTCTGAATTGCCCCCACTCCCATTCATATATTGAAGTCCTAAACCTTAGTGACTCCGAAAGTGAATGTTATTTGAAACCAAAGCCTTTAAAGAGAAAATAAAGTTATAATCAGATCATTGAGGCAGGCCTAATCCAATGACTGGTGTTCTTGTAAGATATTAAGATACAATAGGGTAGAGAGAAAATGACTGTGAAGACGCAGGGAAGATAGCCATGTACAACCCAAGAGAGGCCTTAAAAACAACTCTGCCAATACCTTGATCTGACTTCGAGCCTCCAGAACTATGAGAAAAATTGTTGCTTATGCTACTCAGGCTATGACACTTTGTTATGTCAGCAGGAGCGACTAATACATACTGTGATCCTACCCTTCTACTGACAACGTGGAAAAAATTCTTTACTAAACTCCTCAAATCCACTTATTTCTTGTTGGAACCTTGACTGACCCAATAAGGTTACTTTAAGAATTTCTACAATAAGCACAGAACACTTCTTTGTAAAGGTATGAACAGTCATGAAAAATTTAGATTGGGCAATTTCCATGTTAAGATGGATTTATAAGCAATGGCATCCAGCACTACTCTTTCCTTCACATTACCCCCCCCACACCCCTCCATAGATCTTCTACTTAAAATTCCCAGGGCTGACTGCAAAGGATTATTTAAATAGAGGGAACATATTTGTGCTGGACCTAGGGAAGTCTGTCATTCTTGGCTAAAAACCTACAAGTATTTTTGATAGATATAAAACCTAAGGTGGCTGGTTACACATGCTTTCTTGGTTGGAAAGAGCAAAGCTCTGCCTGTTGGAGTACCTGTTAAATGTCCCATGATACTAGCTAGACTCATGGGGTAAGAAGTACCAGGTAAAAACTAGCTCATGTAAGGAGCACTAATAACCAATCCACCCCGACAGGCCACACTGAGGGGAAAGAAGGGGAAATGGCCTGAAAGGGCACACTTGTGGCTGCCACTTCCAGTGAGAAAAGGAATTTTTTTCACTTGGGAGTCACAACTCTTTTGTGATACCACCAATATTTTTCCCAAGCCTGCTGAGTTTGTCAGTTTCAGGAACATTAGGGGCCGGGGACACAGCTCAGCGGCAAAGGTGCATCTGGCAAGCGCAAGATCCTGAGTTCGAGTCCCGCCCGGTTCAAAAAAAAAAAAAAAGGAACATTAAAGGCACACTGCAAAATTTCTTGCTTTGAAATTTAGAAACAAATTTTATTTAAGATCTGAAATACAATTCCTAAAATATCAACTTTGCCAGAAAACTGTGTCTACACAATAATGCATTGCCTCTATCATGTTAGAACGTGCATTAGACTCAAATACAAAAACCATGAAACAAACCACCATCCTTCAACAATTTGAGCAAAACCATGAAACAAGCCATCATCCTTCAACAATTTGAGCAAAACCATGAAACAAACCACCATCCTTCAACAATTTGAGCCATAGAATGCCTAAGGAACAACATAGGTGGATTTGCAGAGGATGGGCTGTTTTACTTCATTCAAGCACCATAAAAAAAAAAAAAAAGAGCACAAATGTATGGGTTTTCGGGTATATACATTAAGTTGAACCTTTGGCACTAGGAATCAGGGCGTTTTGTCACATAGCATTTAACACATATTAGAAAATTGTGTAGTGTCAAAGGGATAGAACCACCAGCATTTAAGCAATGTTGTCAACTAGGCAATAAAATGGTCTACTGAATGTTTTTTCTTTGTCTAATTACTGCATACACTGGTAGCAACTTTGAAATGAGGAAAGGAGTTTATACTCCTTTTATTTTCTGTTTAAAACGGAACAGAAAACAAACTGAAACATAAGCCCTGTTATACATTGACAATTTTAAAGAACATCAATTATACAAGTAAAAGACTAAGAACAGAAAGTGTTTACAGATACCAGACTTTAACAGTGAGTGGTCAGTAGACCCTCACACGGCTTTGCGATGGTAGTCAGCAGAAGCCACTTTGTAATCACTGGCAGTAAACAGTGATGCAGAATTCTTTGCCAGATACTTTAGGAAATCATGCAAATAGCCCAACAATAATGCAAGGCTCTTCTCATCAAGGGGTGTATAGGCCAGCATCGCCCCTATTCTTACAAATAATCTCAGTAGGTGTGGCGCTCCATAGACCTGGGACATTGGCGCATCAGGGTGAGCCAAGAGGATTTCAGCATACTGGGGCCTCTCAAATTTGTAGAGCAGCTGAGTGCCCAACATCACATTGAAATACTCTTTTATTCCTGCCACAACTTCATTAACTGCATACTCCTTATTATCAACATTTCCCTGTGATTTCTTACAATTTGCATACTCTTCCAGAATGGCATCTACATTTTTCTTAGCAGGAAGTTGAAAGAGCTGCTTCTGCCTGGTCACTAAGTCCCAGTCCTCAACAAGCCATGGTTTTAGCTCTTCAGGAATCTTCACTTTAACCTCCATTCTATTCTTAAACGCTTCCTCGCTTTCCACAGTGGGGTCAGCCCGGGCCCTCTTCTTCCGAGGGGGCTGGGGTGCTTCACTGGTACTGCCACCATCTCCATTCCCAGGAGTCTTCTGTTTGTTCTTTCTTGTCTTCCTCACAGATCCTGAAGGAGGGTTCTCTCCAGAGCGACCCCCCCATCTTCCTGGAAGAGCTGGCTCAAGATTCTTTGGCTGTGGGCCAGCTGTCTTCTTTCCTGAGGAGGCCCCTCTCATCTTACTTCTCTGCATATTGCTTCGGGATGGCTTTTTGAAGTTCTCTTCTTCTGCAGATTGCTGTCCACGAGTTTGAGAACCCTGCTTTCTGGAACTCATTCAACCCTGTTTTTATTCCAACCACTGTAATATATAAAGTATTTTACTTGGTTGTTTTCTATGGCAAATTTTATGCTACGTAACGGTCCATAAGAACACCATACATATTAACTCTCCTAGAATTTGAATTTCAAATCCTATTTCAGGAATCTGTAACTCTACCTCCTCCCCCTTCTCTGATCCTCACAACTACCTGCATTCCACCCAACTATTCACAAGACATGCCCATAAGTGAGTTTTTGGTGCCACTTAAAAGACTAATTTTAGAGAAAAAAGGAATTAAATAGAAAAGAAACCATAGGAAGCAGCAGAACTTGAGCAGTGTGAACACGTAATTCCAGCACTCTGGGAGGCTGAGGAAGGAGGATCATCAAGTTCTAGCCCAGCATGGGCAGCTTAGTTACTTAGTGAGACCCTTCTGAAAATAAACAATGTAAAACATGCTGGGAATGCAGCTCAGTGTGAAGGCCCTGTATTCAATCCCCAGAACTGGAAAAGGCAGTAGAATTTAAGTTGAAGACTTTGGAACAGGAAGAATGACAATTTAAAAGAAATATAGAGATCAATTTAGTCAACAGGAGGGAAAATAAGTAACAATAAAGGTTTGTGTATAAAAGTCCACATAGGCCTGAACTAGGGTGATGACAGTGAAAAGAAATGAACTTATATGGAAGAATATAGTAAGTAACTAAGAGGGAGAAGTAATGACGTGGAAAACTGTTCAATATGCCTATAATTTCAAGCCAGAATAATATGAATTAATAGAAGCATGGATTTTAAGAGTTAGTTTAAAATCAGCAGCAACAAAGGAAGAAAAGTAATTTATCCTTTCATTAACCTATTCAGTTAGTCCTCATACATTATCGCATATCTACTTTTAGGCAAATACTATGGTAGGCATGAGGGATTCAAACACTGAAAGTGACAATTATGACACCACTTTCAATGACTGCTTGCTGAAGGAGGTAAAAAAAAATGGTGAGGGAGAAGTCAGTGATGATCCTCAAGTTTTGAGGATGGCAATCAGCTCTGTAGTGTCTACAAATGAGGTGGCATTTGTGAAAGGAAAGTGATTAAAGGGGAAAGTTTAGTATTGCACTTATTGCATGTAAGCTGTTACGTTACACATATGACTTTAAAAGCTCAGATGAGCTTTCTCCATCTAGCAATGGAGATCTAAGAATCACTATTATTATACAGCTGGCAATGGTGAGAGCCAGTGAAATCATACAGGGAGAACAGAGGCAGAATTTCAAAGTTTGGAATTCTGGAAAACCTAAGGAAGAAAGTTTTAAGGGGTGAGCACAGAAAAACCACAAACAAAACAAAAATGCTAAGAGTAGCCATTGAAGAATAAGGAGAACGTTACTGTGGAACTCAAACAAGTTGAGTTTCAAACAGATAATTCACAATGAAGAAAATGAAGCAGGGAGAGCCAGCAAGATAAGGATGCAAAAATAGCCTATTATTCTTATGATGTGAGAACAAACAATTTCTTTGACTTACACAATCTTCCTTCTTTCCCTTCCAAGAACTGCTAGTAATTTCCCAAATGGAATCTTACAGGTCTTCGGGGATGGTCTGGAGGGATGAAGTGGGAGACAGAACCTAGAAAGGAAAGCAGGTATCTGCAATGAAGAACTTTTGTAAAACCATCCAAGAGAAAAAAATTACATGGTTTGTAACAGAGCCGTGAAGGAAAGTAAGGGTCCTGTTTGTCAGACAGACCTTTACTCCAATTAGTCTCCCAGTGATGAGCTACGAGACCTTGTGTACCCTTAGCCCCTTGTCATCTATGATTACGGCCATTTTACACAGTGCTGATGATTGAACCCAGGATTTTAGCACTGAGGTACATCCCCAGCCTTTTTAAAATTTTGAGATAGGGCCTTACTGAGTTGTTCAGGCTGGGCTCAAACTTGGCGATCCTCCTGCCTCAGCCTCCAAGAGTGCTGAGATTTCAGGCATGTGCCAGCATGCCCACAGGCAAATTCTTTCTAGACTTTATAGATTCTTTTAAGAATGTCATAAATTTGATGTGAAAAGATAGCACAATACTTCACAGGAATACCTGAACATGAAACATAAAGATACTTGCTGCAGTGGTATTTATAATACTGAAGAACTGGAAGCTGAATATTCTTTAATAGGAAGGAACATGGTAATATAAATTATGTATGCACACTACATAACATTCAAATGAGTTCAGAAGTCTATGTACTAACAGAGAAAGATGCTCAATGTGTCATTAGACAAATGGGCAGGTTTCACTAATACTGCACACAGCAAGATCCCAAGTAGGATTAAACATGTCTCAAAACACTCCTTATCAATAGTGTGATCTCATTTGTGTTTTAAACATGTTTATGTATACAGAAATTCAGCAAAATAAATTCCAGCACGTCAAAATCAGGGTAAACACTGAGAAAGGAATGATAGACTTAGCCTTAAGCCAGGTTTCTCTAACAACTTTCACCCAAAGCAACCCATCAATCACTATCCTTCCAGACTGCATGGGAAGTTCTCAGACAAGCCCCAAGGAGGCAATCAGAGTCAAGATACTCTTGAAGATGGGAGTGGTACCATCTGGCTGTAACCTCAATATTCTAGGAGGCTGAGGTAGGAAGATTCCAAGGTCAAGCCCAGTCTGTATGACTTAATGAAACCCTGCCTCAAAAAAAAAGGCTGTGGGTGTAGTTCAGTATGAAGGACCTGGGTTCAATATCCCAGTAATGCAAAATAAACAGACATTCTTGAAAACGGGGGCCCTGATTCAGGAGTGTTTTAGGGAAGAGGCCTAGGTGCTACTAATACTTAGTTTCACTGAGCAAATAGTATCCTACAAATGAAAGAGCACAAAGCTCTGAGCAGATGGTCAAGGGCAACACCAGCCTACACAGCATCAGAATCTATGAATATAGACTGACCTTGTAGGATCACAAAACTTCTTTCTGGCTGAAAGGGATATAGATAGCTCCTAGGAAGTTTCAGATAGTGGTAATAGTGGATGGTGTCATTACATTCTATTTTAAGCCATCATTCTCACAAAATGTTACGTTTTAAATCTTTTATAAAGGAATTCACTACACCTGGAACAGGGAGGATAAAGTGTCTGCGGTTATCAGAGAACTTAATATAAGCAAAATCCAGAAAGCCCATCTTGAGGGTCATACAGTACAGAGGGCCCACACAATAGAGGCTAGTTAAAATACCACCTAAAGATTGCTTATTACAAATCAAACTGTATAAAACACATAAAAATAATGCTGGGCTAGATAAGAACTATTTTGGAAGCCAGAATGTTCATTAGGAATTCCGTACCCAGGAAGTTGAGAATGACAGCTTAATTTACTGTGTATCTTTGGTGCAGACTGCACATATTCACACGTAAAAAAAACCACAGCTGGGCGTGGTGGTGCATGCCTGTAATCCCAGCACTCGGGAGGCTGTGGCAGGAGGATCGCTGTGCGTTTAAGCCCAGCCTGGGCTACAAAGTGAGCTCAAGGCCAGACTGAACTGCATAGCAAGATCCTGTCTCAAAAGGACAAAAAAAAAAAAAGAAACTACAAAGCCCATCCTCTACAAATTCTGTAATTCATGTAAATTATTATGTGGAATCCAATGTCTGACATAGCTACAAAAATGTACTTGTAGCCCTAGCCAATGGTTGCTTGGTTAATAAAGCTAGTAAATTTTCCTAAGAACTGCCTCAGTGACTTTCATTTTCATTTGAGCATCCTGTTCTTTTAAACAGCTACTACTACTACCCCAGGAATTAAGAGGCCAGATAACTTCCCCCACCCACAGTACTGGGAACTGAACCCAGGGCCTTTGCACTGAGTTACATCTCCAGCCTTTTTTTTTTTTTTTTTGAAACAGGGTCTTCCTAAGTCACTAAATTGTCCAGACTGGGATTAAAGTTTTGGTCCTCTTGCGTCAGCTTTCCAGAGTGCAGGGATTACAGAGGTACACCACCACTCCCAGCTGAATGTTCCTTCCTTCTGACCTCAGACTCCTCGTTCTAATAGAAGTTAATGGAGAGCTTTGCTACCGTCACTCCATTTTGTACTTTTCTTCCCAGAGGCTTAAAACCACAGCACGGTTCCAAGATACTGCTATGTACATTCTTTATCCATTTTCAAGTTGTTAAAACTTTGCATCTGCCAGTTTCTTTCAAATTTCAGGCTGATGTTTATTCAGTGTACTTCTTGCTCTAAATAGACTTCTCTCTCCATCTAAATATTATGAAAGTCCTGTCTCCTCTTTAAGTCTTTGCTAACTACTCCAGCCTGTTTCTTGACCATGTCCAATACCAAATGTACCTTACAGTATTTGGGTTCCACATGTTAGCTTTGCTTATGGAACTAATCATTTATTTCAATTTGCCAGAGGACTTGTGCTATACCTATCTGGCATCTTTTGTAGCAACGCTTAGGTTCCTGGTGGGCATACAATAAAGAGTCAAATACATGCATGTAATTCAACAAAGAAAGTAGGCTCACAAATCAAGGCTGACAGTCACTAATTCCCCAGTGATTCCCTATAGGTCAGCTCTTGGTTAAACCAGAAATTGGAAAAACACATTTGTATGTTTGCCTTATTTTCTACCTTTAATCTCCTAATAGTTAAATGCACATCTAATCTTTTATTTTTTAAAAAGTCACTGTAATTAGTAATTTTCCTATATTAGGATTATAACATGCGAGTTCTGACATATGAATTGCTATCCCATTGAATGGGGATACTCAATCTACTGTTACTCCCTCTCTGGAAAATCAAAATTTCCCCCTAAAGTCCACATTGAACCTAACCTCTGAATTTGATTCAGTTCTCGTCCAATTCAGTTTCCAACCAGAATCAAGGAAAGAACAAAGTCTGTGAACTGAGGTACCACTATACTATACTTTATACTATGACCTATAAAGTTATCTATATTATCTCTCCTATATTTTATGGCATTATTTATTTATACCAAGCTATGTAAACATCTGAGCATTCTTCTTTACCATCTCCCAATGGTAATGAAATATCCTTTGTAGTGTATATAATTATAGCATTCATAACTTCAATGCTTTATATACCTTCACATAAGTAACTTTAAAACTCAGTATGTATGCTCTCTCTATATATGTGAATACATAACATTCATTTAATTTACTTTTACAAAATTGAGATGTCTATTGCTCTGCACCATGCTTTTCTCACATCATGGATGCTTTTATATTTCAATAACACTTAACTCTTATTTTTATTATCTACCTCTCATTCCATAATCTCTTGTGTACCATATTTTAACTACTCTCATGTTCCAAATGGTTATTACGTACTGTGACAGACATCAACAGTTCCATTAGCGCATTAGATAAGTATCTCTGAAGGACATATGTGAGGAAATATTCAGTAAAAGGATTTGTACATTTACAATTCTGATGAGATAGAGCTAGACTCACCTCAGAGCTATTAATTTGTATTCCCAGCAAAAACTCGGCTGTTTATTCTTCCACACCTTCAGCAATACTACGTATTTTTCTGTGGTCATGTGTGCGGTTCTTGTGATTCAAACCAAGGGCCTAATAGAAGCTAGCCAAGCACTCTACCACTGTGCTGTATGTACTCAAAGCCCCAAAATCTTTTATGAAATAAAAGCCTTGGTTATTTTAACATGCAGTACGATATTTTCACTTGAATTTGTGTAATACTGAGCATCATTTCATATGTATAGGTCATGTATCTATTTCTTACATTTTTGTTCCCTTTTTTACTTGGTTGTTTGGTGCTTCATTTTTAATAATTGATTTTCTACTTGGTTGTCTGTTGCTGCATTTTGTTTGTTGAAAATACTTTAAGTGTTTATTGGTGCCTTACTATGTATACTGTGTGTGCATATTATATATATATGCACATATGGTAATAACACACACAAATATGTCAATTTTTTTTCATTGTGACCTCTGGCTTTATGTCAGGCTTAGAGAAAATGCTTCTAAACCAATAATGTAAGAGTGCCTTCCTACATTTTTTCTTGGTATTTTTATAGTTTTCCCCAAATTTCTAATAATCTTTTCCTAATATTTATTACTGAAAAGTCCATTCTTTCTTCAATGATTTGAAATGTTATTTTACAATGTTCCAAATTCCCAGAGTTATATCTTTTAAGGCCGTATTCTTCCCAAAGGTTTCTGGTTATTTAATTTTTGAAGGTTTCACCACTGTATCTCTAAGCCATTTGTTCTTACACAGTGATATGTCTGAATATTCTTACTCTAGGATCCCATTGGTTTAAACACAACAGTTTAACAGCATACATGTTGGCCTTGAGTGACACTTAAAATGGGTCACAAGGATGTTTGATGCAGTATTATTTGAAGTAGCAAAGCACTGGAGTCAACCTAAAAGGATACTAATTGTGATTTGGCAAAATAAAATGTAGTAATGTGGACTATCTTGCTAGTTAAAACAGTGTCACTGCGAAAGAAATCAGAATCTTATGAATGGATACAAAGATATTGAAGGCAATTTGTTAAATAAAAACAGCCAGCTGCAAACATTACCTATAGTGATACCATATTTGTACACAGAAAAACACAAAGCATTATATATATATAAACATTTTATATATATATACATATATATACCCATACACACGTATATAATTTAATAATCTAGAAGGAAATAGAGCAAACTATGAAGAGTGATTAGGGGCAGAAAAATAACTGAGAGTAGTAAGAACAGGAAAACAGCCTATTCTATAATATAAACTGCTTACAAGATTGTATGTACATATCGAAGATGTACAAATCTATAGTAAGATACACATGTCATGATTTTTCAGTGAGTCACCATTGCATATTGTATACTTTGTAGG